AGTTTCTGCAGAGAGCAGTGTTATCTCACCACTATATATGCTGATTAATTCAGAATATTACATTCATTACCTGCTGTGTTTCAGCAAATATCCTGCTCTATCAACAGCAAGAGGAAGCCAGTGCAGAAATCTGCACTTCAAAGAAAGCTTGGCATAAGCCATCTTAATGGAAATAAGTGCAGGAGATTTTTTGTTTGTTTGTTTCTGAGTGGTTTCTCTCACATGGAGTCAGGTGGGTGATGCTGTTTCCGTTTGCTCTAGCAATGTCAAGGCCATTGATGATGAAAGTTTTGTACTGTTTTTCCCCCATTGCTTGGAAATTTGTCTCCCCTCCTCCCCACCCCCGACCCAAATCCCTGCCAAGCCAGCAGCTGTGAACAAAATTTGTCAGCAAAAGGAATCTGAAGTTTTGCACACGCTGTGGAACAGGATACACAAATGCAACTTTGAGCAGGGGAACAGTTGAGAGACAAATTCACATCCTCTGAATAAAATATGAGTGTATGAAACGGATGAGCTTTTTAAGGTGTCATGTAAGTTATAGTGTGTAGAAGAGAATGGAAGAATGCAAGCACAGATTATTTTTTCATAATGAGTTTTGGCACCTCAGTCTGAGAAATGTTAAGGAATGCCTCAAAGTTTAATGCCCAAGTTTTTCTATTAATGTCAATTAGCAAACCTCCTGAACAGGAGCACTGTAATTGCTTCGGAGACCCTGGCACGCCAATGGCAAAAACTCCTCTGTAGAATTACAAACTTAGTTGAATGTGTCATAATTTTATTTTGTTAGACATTATCCTTATCAGAGATTCCCATAGAATTCCACTAATTTTACTTCTACTGGGGATTTTTTTTAATGGAAGAGAGGGATATCAGTGTGAGAATTTTGTAGGATTTTTTTTTTTTTCTCCGGGAAAATAAATGCAGGATGTGTGTGTGCAGAAAATACGCACACCTATATTAAGGCTATCTGATATTTTCCATGCTTGTAATGGAAATTTTCAGTTGCTTGCAATTTTGACAAGCTTTAGCTAACAGGTTCCATGAAATGTCTCTGCATTTATTTTATTATTATTATTTTTACATTTGAAGAGGAGGACAATGTGCTTATATTTGTAAACAACACATACCATTTATATGTAATTTATGACCAGGATAGCTGTGGTGAGCTTCCCATTCCTCTGTGCTGTGGTTATAGTGCTTGTAATATTTTGTTATTACATTTGGAATGTAATATTTTATCTTCATCAAATACCTTGTCCAAGTGAGAGTTGAGTTTATCAGCATTGTGATTGTGAGTCTGATTAATGTAATGTTTGTAATGTTCATAGTTAATAGTTTTATTTGAGTTTGTATGCAGGTAAGACAGGGTGGAATAGTGCAAAAGGATATGGAAAAGTCTGTTTGTAATTAAAGGAACAATAACTGGGCTTTAGGGACTGTGTGTAAGATATGCTAGTCTTTCCCACGGCCACACCCTGAGCATATGATCTTTGACTGAATTCATGGAAACATTCAGACTGCTTCCTACAGATTGCAGCTGGCTCTGTCTATAAAATCTCTGCTTTACAAAGAGCAGAGGATTTTATGCGATAATGTGCAATGATACATTTCATTCTGCTGCAGTGTTACTATACAGCTATGTGAAACAGATGGAATGCTTAAAAAAAACACTGAAACATGCAGTGTTGCATTGCCCTGCAGAAACTACGGCAATGCTGGTAATGGTTGTCCTTGCAGTTCTCGTTCTGAGGACAGTGAAACAGCGCAGTTCTTGAGCATCGAATATGCATACGGCTGGCAGACTGCATGCCAGCCAAACTGTTAGAAGACCCACCAACTGCTTTTGCTATTTCAAACCTTTAACATCTTTCCCAACAGTATAATCTCTGCAAATTGAATTTTTCAATGGCACAGCGTCTTCTCCCTATTAACATCATGAAAACGTAATACGATGACAACTGAAACGTAAGGCCAATTAGACAGGAGGCTCATCCAGTCCATTATCCAGTTTCCAACAGTTGTTAGCATCTGGTAGTCAAAAGAAAGAAATAAGATTTTTGCAAGAGACAATTAATGGACAAATGTGCAAATTAGGAAAGAGTTGCTTAGTTTTTTTAAGATATGGATTGACTTATGCACTTTCAAGGAGAAAAAATCTTATGTAAGTGGTATGTCAAAGAAGATACCAAAATATATTATTTCAGTTAGAGGTGAAGATATTCTCTATTCAGATGCTCCCAATATTCAGACGGATAGACTGTCCTCATGACAAAGAGACTGGTAAAACTAAGCGTACAGTGTCAAGGAGAATTGATAAAAGTCACCATGGAAATAGTCTCTAGTTTATTGAATTTGACTTTAGATGTCAAAATGGTCATCACTGCCTTTTTAGAGACTGTCCATAACAGAACAAAAGTTTTGAGAATCACAAGTTTATATTGGTATATGTTGGTAGTTTTACAAGTCTAACATTCTCCATGTACTTTTTCAAATCAGAATAAAGAACATATAGGGCAGGTAGCATAGGAGAGGTTAGTGTAGTCACATGGTAGTGATTTGCTTCCTGTTCAAAGGATCACACTTCTCATTTTAAGATGTTTATTAATTATTACTATGATCCTGTAATTCTTTTTTAAAATAACAGCAACTATAGCAAAACAAGTGTTTCTTTGCTCCTAGGAGCTCGAAGCACTGTCAAAGTTGTGCTCATGTGAATATTGTGGGTGTTGGAAGGGTGTAGCTGAAGCTGAAGGGAATTCCCATTTAGAAGACTTGGAAATGTTGATGGATGATATTTTCTCCTCTTTGTCAACACTAATGTTAACTCAGATTATTGGAAAATGATGTTAACCTAAAATACTGTTGGCTGTAACAATATATTGGTACATGCCTTCACTTGAAGGATTTGTATATAGACAGTCAAAAAAACGTTTATCACTCTGTCTACGTTATAGCTGCCTTAAGGAGATTTTTGCAGCTAATCTGTGAGGAGGAGAATTATTACTGTATGTAAAAAGCCCCCGTTATAAATCTGGCACTGTTCTGTTCTTAATCTGCTTTTTGAGTATGTGCATCCATTCTTTTCTGTCATTAGAAAACATCCACAAGCCTTTGCTCAGCTTCAGTGTACCGAGTATAGGCCCTAATTTTGGGAGTCAAGTTCTGTGTCTATCTCAACAAGACAGGCATGTACTGATATGCAGCTAGGAATCATTGTTCAAGACTATACACTTTAAAAAACATACAGAAGGTAATTTATTTAGATATTGTTGGGATTAACTTAACTGCTTCTGATTTTTAACTTTTTTGAATCTCACCGTCTCCTTTATGGCTAGCGTATTCTGTATAAACCCAGTAAAAAACCACTTGCTGCTAAAATGCCATTTTAGGAATACGACAGATGAAAAAAACATAGAAAAGATGGGAAATAATTGTAGTTAATTGAAAAGCAAAGAAGACATACTTCAGAGCGCTAGAATTCAAACAGTTGTTTTTGGCTTCTGCTTGATCTTGGCTTTTGCTACAGGACCAATTAGTAGTTTTGATAGTTTAGCCCCGTTTAACTCAAAATGCTTAATATTCAAAGGGTGAAATATAGCAGATCTTGCCCTTTCAACTTCTGGCATGTGAAATTTTAAACTTAAGAGGAAATGTTTTGAATTATGGTGACTTAGGTTGACCTAGTAAAAGGCTTTGAAGTAGCTGGTGGTTCTGTTTGTTTTGAATAAGTATATTAAATTGATCTTTTTCTAAAGCTTTCTTGAATTTACTTGAACTTTTTTGGAATAGTAAGTGCATGAGAAATGTCCTGTGCAAGAAAATGGTGATGTTTGCATGAAAGTCCATTTGAAAGTTCATTTTCAGCCAGTCCAAACATAATACTGGTGAAACGAAAGCTGGTTTTACGATTTTTAATTCTTTGTAGTATATTTAAAAAAGAATACAACACAAAACCAAAAGACAATAGTGCTTGGCATTTGTATTGAGAGTTTACCTTTATTTTCTTAAGCAGTTCTGTTCAAATCACTAAGCAATAGTGAACTCAAAATTAGAACACCAGTTCTGATGCTGGAGTTTCAGCAGCACGGTGTTTATGCTGGCATAAGCAGTTCTCTTCCCTGGCCACCTACTCCCTCCCCGTCCTGCTCTCAGTTGTTGGTGTGGCATGATCCACTTAAAAATTAGTAATTTCATAAAAATTCATATTAAAATCTTTATAAAAACTTAATTTATAGTTGGATCAGAGTATGTTTGTATATGTCTGTATGTAAATGTTCACATTTGTAAAGGCTGATCTAGAAGAAACTCTGATGTAAACCCTGAGTTTCATAGCATAGGATTAACAGCCAAACCAGGGTGGGAGTGGGAGGGTTAGTGGGAGTTAAAGCTTGAGTAGTAAGATCTGAAAGAAGAAGAGTCTTGATGCATTTTGAATAACCCGTTCTTTTCTTTGCATTGCCTTGTCTTAACCTTGGGAAAAATCTTTGAACTATGGAAATACTGTTCTTGTAAAATTAGCATGTGCCAATGAAGAAACAACAAAAAACTTATAAAACTGGGCCCGTCAAGAAAATGACTTCATACTGTAAATGTTTTCACAGAGAAACCTTTGGATCTCTTTTCAGTCATTTACTTGGTAAACAGCATCAGAGTCTTTCAAATTAAAAAAAAAAAAAAAAAGGACTGAAAAGGGATGCATAGAGCAGCACAATTTACTCTCTGCAGTCTGAAAGAAGCAGAGTCTGGAAAAAATAAAACTTCAAACATCTGACCAAGGGTTTCTATACAAGTCTTATGTGGTCTGTTTGAGGAATTCTTGAGTTCATATTGCCATTGGTTTAATTTAGAACACTAATGATTTTGCTTTAAGATGGAAAAGTGTGCTTTGGAGAAGGAGAGAGGTTAATATAGCATACTTTTCACATACCTAATTGCATCTCAGATAACTATACTCCTTTAAAAAGATCCTTTTTTGAAAATAAATCCCATCTTTCCAGGTTAGTCTGTGGAGGAAAGAGGGAGCTGAGTGTGAGACATCAAAGAGAGCTGTTGGAGGAGAGAAAGCAAGCAAGCTGAGAGACCCTCTGCTTCAGAGCAGCCTCTGCGGGGGGATGATGACTCTAGAATAAACTTCCTGTTGCATTACTATCCCACCTGTTAAACTGTGCTACTGCAGAATCACATGAGATATTTTTACAGGTAACTCTTTTTTTAACATCAGCAGGTGCAAGCTAAGGAAAGTAAAATGGAAAATATTTTGCATATTTGCATTGATGCATGTGGTTAAGGTTCTCGATTCTCTCCTTTAGAATCCTAGCAAGGATTCAAGGATTCTTCAGTCACATATATAACCTCTCAGTTAAGAGCTGCTCCTACACCCTAAAATAACTAAGGAAACTTGTTCTCATCGTAGCAGCTGTATGAATGTTGGTATTGCCTGGTACAAGTACTTGCAATATTCAGGCCATGAGGAGCTGCAGAGGGAGACAGGAAGACAGAGAGAATCCTTGGAATTTTTCAGAGAATAAAGTATTTCATAAAGCCCTCTCCTAAAACCTTAAGATGTTCACAGTTTTGAATATGCAATTGGAATGAAGCAATAGAATTTGGGCCATGCGGGAAAATTCAACAGCTCCAGTGTTGAGCTCCAGAGTATGAGCTCCATCATACTCATGATGATTTGCTGTAGTATGTAACTGGCTGGATTTGAGGTCACTTTAGTAACACATCCCTATGAGTTATGGGGTTTGGCCCAGGACGTTTTGGTGTGCATGTCTGTGGACATCTTGCTCCAGTTTCAATTATGATTTATTTTCTTGAATGCATGATGAATATGGAGAGAGAAAGGGTAATAGGACATTAAAATACACCTAATAAGAAAAGTGGGGGAGTTCTCCAAGTTTTTCATAGCATGAAATCCTGGAAAAGAGAACATGTCATGAGCAATCCCCTTCTATTTAAAATAACACATAAATTGGAACATCCTTGTCGCAACATAGCAGCTGCTTTGGACGAAGAGAAAATTTACACAAGTTTACTGAAGATGTTTTTAACTACTTTTTAAAAGCATAATACAGCATAAAATTAATATAATGGGAAAAAAGAGAAGTATTAGCACTAGTCAGTCAGACATTGGAATTTAATTTTCCATTATTCTGTTGTCATTGTCATTTCCTTTAGTCATCTTTTCTACATCTATGTTTGATAGTGGTCACTCCAGCATTTTATAAGTAATGTCGTTCAGCGCCCTTGCTTCTAAGTTTCTTCATGCTTGAATGAATGCTACAGAATTTAATACCATATTTTAACTGAACTTGGTGAGTTTTCCCTAATTGTGTATGTAGCTGTGTCAATAGATTTTAGACATCACGATACAGTCTGGGTAATTGTGAAAGGGAAAAAAGGGTTAAGCTAGTAAGTATTAAGCTAGTATGTTAAGCATAACATATTCCTCAACAGAATGATAGACAGAGAGCACTCACTGAAAAACCTGGAGGAGTTAATAACTATTATCTGTTTGATCTCACTCTTGTATCGCTGAGAATAATCCATGGAATTCAAACATCAGTCTGTTGACAAAGGTTTGCTTTGCCAGAATCACAGGTGCCTTTATGTAAAAACCTTATTTAAGCAACTAGTTCAAGAAGGTAAGCATTTTGGGTATTAATATTACTGTATAAGACAAAAATTCTTAAAAAAAACCCCACACTTTTTAAAATATATAAGTAATGTGGGGAATATTATCCTACAGTTTTTGTATTTTGATAAAATATGAAAAAATGTATTACTGGAGAACTGATTTCGGCAGTACAGCTTATTTTATGAGAGCTGGCAGTTTCTGCTACTTCATTTAGGCTAGAAATGACAGAGTTATACTACTATATTGCTATATATCAGACTGTGATAGATACTTTTCTTTAGAAGATAAAATAATCAGTACTGTCAGGAGAAAATACTATAACTGAGAAAACAGCATGAAATGATCTTGAAAGTGTGGAGTTTTGTGTGTTTTCTTTACCCTAAATAATTTTGTCTTGTCTTTTGTATTTTTAACATGCATATATTTTTAACATTATGCATTTATTTGGCACAGTTAGGTATCCTGTAAACAATCCTGCTGAATTGTTAACTTCGTAATCCCTGAGTTCTCACCTGCCTTCCACATGCAATTGCAGCATTTCTTACCACTAGCTTCGTAAGTTCTTAAATCAATAGAAAGCCCATCACATTTGAGAGGGACCAGCAGAAGGAAGAGGAAAGGCTTTGGAAGCACAGAGATCAAGAGAAAGCCTGTCTAGCTAAGAGCAAGATGGAAATATCCTTGTATTTCTAGAAGCTATACTTCAAATTGTAGTATAAGTAGGCACACATTTCTTCATTTTCTTCAGTTCTACATTTTTAATGAAGAACAGACAGATATGCACTGGATTACCTTTTATCAGTGGAAATGCTGCCAGTTCAGCCTCAAAGAGGCAGAGCTGGTGTGGTGGATGAAGGCATCTTAGCTCTGTTATGTGCAGGGGAGCAATGTTGCCCAAAAGCAGAAATTGCTGAAAATTTCAGGGGAAGAACCTCGTGGAGTTTTCCTCCTCCGACCCTTATTCTGAGGGTTTTGGATGTGTGTGTGTGTGCACATGCAGTTTTTTAACTGGAGAAAACAGTTACCTCTACAGCCTGTAGTTCTTGGGATAACTCACAATCTCATCCAAACCTGTGAACTGAAGAAAAGTGTTTAAAAAAAATAGAGTCAGATTTTTATTTCCCCAAAAAACAGCACCACCATCACTTTATGACAGATGCTTATGAGGTAAGTATTATTAGAAAAGGCCAAGAGCATTCTCAATTACTGTCTGTAATATCTGTTGGATGTGGGAGACAAAATTTAGCTGAATGGTAGCCAAAAGCTATAAATGGGAAAAAGTACACAGGAGGTAATTTAATCTGTAATTTTATCTACAGGCAGTCCTACAATATCTGCAAGGCCCCTGGCAAAAAACTGGAGTGATGCAAAAAAAACTCCAAGATTATCTGCATGATAATCGAGAAAATAAAAGATGTGAAACATCTTTGTGAACTAGACCCAATTTTCCACTTGCAGTAAGCTTTTGACCTTCAAACACACATACCACGTGGCCCGAGGAAAAAAAACAAAGAGATAACCTCTCTTTTCTACACTGCAGGAAGGGATCTTAGTTTATTCCTTGAGAGCCACTGCATTTCTCAAGCAAGCTCTTTGCAATGTTCTTGCTTTATGGTGCTACTCACTACCAGTTGCTGGTACTCGGGGTGCACTATAATAGTACTCCTAAGGGGTTCAAAATGGCATTAGGAGCATTTTCTAATTGTTGTTTTTTCTGACGTGTTCCATCTGGTTTGATGAGAGGTAGCCACACCTGAGGTTTGAAAGAATAACTGTAGTGAGGATAGGAATGCCTTCCTATACCAATTCCATTAGCATCACAACTAAGTTGAAACAGTGTTTTAGCATAGTAAGTTAAATTTTGTGTTTATTCTAAAATATAGCACCATATGGACCTGACGTATCTGGGTAATGTACCAGTTCACTTATATGTACGTAAAGGAGAGTACTTTAAAAAGAAACCAAAAAAACCCCTGTCACTGACTGACTGAAGAGAATGGTGCAATGAAATCTGTTGGAAACTGTGAAGAGCTAATGCTTCTGTTCAGTAAATACTATTTGAGGGAGGATCAAAATCCTTTGTCTCTTGTCTCCTCTGTTTAGGAATCTGCAACTGTTGATGCCTCAGTCTTGATTCAAAGTGATGATGAATAGGGAATTCTAGTATTATGAAACTGTGCTACCTAGATGTGACAATTCCACTAGCTTCAGTAAGTTAGTTCCATAGCTGGTATTATTGAGGCTTCTTAACTCCGTAACTATTAGGAGGGTGGAGAAATTCCCACACATACAGTTGTGGGCTGTTGTGTGGTATCATCAGAGCAGTTTGATCCAAATCCTAGCAGAAGAGCTTCCCTCAGAAACTGGGAGAGCAATTTTCCTGATTAGGAAGATTTCCAAATTGCCCTGCATTGCTCTCTAGACGTCTGGGAGACTTTGTAGTCCGTTCTCCAGGCTAAATGAATGTGGTGTGTATTAGCAGTTTGCTAGTACCGACCACTAGCACAACTGTTTTTGTTAGAAGAGAATCTACCCGTCGAGGGACAGAGTATTTCCCCTAAAGTTTATGTGAATGGAGAGTTAAGTGAAGGCCCTGACTGTACTTCCATTTGGAACACTACTGAATTTTCCTAACAGTGTACTCTACAGCAATTCAAATTAGGGACACTTGAAAAGGGTTGGGCGTTTTCCAACTTGGTCTTTTGCCTGTATCTTGGCCTGAAACAACCAAACCTTGCCTGGGGTTCGAAATGCTTTGAGTCATATGCCACACTCTAAACAGAACCAGAAATAGTAAAATACCCTTTGTAGCTATGTCTCACAGATATTCCAACCTAGACAGAATCGGGGAGTGCTAGAATAACAGCGCAAGGGGACTTTTCTCAAGAAAATAGCCGTGCTGATTCGTCTTTTCAGCCAGAGAGGTAGAGGATAGTTGCGCGTGCTCAAGTTCGGTGTTGCAAGTGCAAGTGTTTTCAAAGCAAACTAATGCAAACTAATGTAATTTATCCTAAAAATGTTTTTTTTCTCAGATGAATCAAAGATTACCAATTAGCCAGTGAAAGATGTTTGTGTATGCATATACATGCAATGACATAAGTAGCCTCTTATTATAAAATTCAAGCTAAAGGGCAATTGCTTAAGGTAGAAGAAGCATGTATTTTTTCTTCTGTATGAAATGCAGTCAGGTGATGGAAGTTCAAAAATTATTTTTCTCACTTTTTTTAATTTTTACATTTTTTGCTCTGTCAGTCAAATAGGCAGTGTTTGGAGTTCTGCAAAGATGACATTTACTCTTGGGAGGAGGGCAAAAAGTAAAAGTGGAAACAGCTGATGATATAGGCAGGATGGCTCTCAGAGAAAGCAGGAGGAAGAGAACACGAATATCTGTTAAAGCTATACCCAGTGGCATTTTTGGCTAAGTTCAGCCTGCAGTTGCTGCTGAATTCTGTCTTCTGCAGTAGATGTCACTGCCAACAGTGAGAAACATAACAAAGGCCTTTGGAGTGTCATTAGTTTGGGCAACAGAAAATGTAACAAAGGAAAACCAGACAGTTTTGTAAGTTACCCCAGTGTTCAGTACCGCACGCACTAAATATAAAAATGTGATTTTGAAGATCTGATTTGCTATTGAAATTCCCTTTTCTCTTTCCAGTGGCATTCCCTTTCATTGACAAAATACTTAAGGCAGAAAGAACTGTTAGGTTGTAGCACTGTGTCCACTAACTTACAATTTCATTCAATACCTATTGTGTAAATCGCGGTCCTCTTGTCTTTTGTTCAGTCCCCCACTGTCACCAAGTGGCCTCAGAGGAATCTGTCTAAGCTTCCGCAATCTTCTTCCTGACGCTATCATTTAATACACTCAAATTAATCTCAGCCTGATAAAGATGTCCTCTTTTCCCCACTGTAGAATTGTTAAAGATGTTTAATAGCAGAAGAAGAACCTGGAAAGCATTAGTGTTGAAAGAATGGGTCTCTTTTTTTGTCATTTCCTTTGCCTCATGCATCTAATACCTCCCAGCAAGTACTCTCTGAGATTTATATTTGTTTTTCAGCTTATCAGAACAAATAACTAATAAAACTTAGCCTTATTTTCTCAGCAGTATTGGCCTGCTACCTCAATCAATGAACTATGTTGCAGTCCAATCTTAAGTTTTTAATTTTCCTATGAAGGTTCTTGTCCAAACTAACTGGCATAACTTTTGTGCAAATGAATTCATGTGATGATGCAAGAAATGCTTTGTTAAAGTCCAAATATGCATCTGAATGACCTTCATCCTGCATTTTGTAATTAAGTCTAAAAACAGTCATGTTCAAAAGCAGGATTTTATTTCTCTATATTTAAGTTTAGGCTTTGCAGTTGATAACTGTGAGGAAGGTGTGGAAAGGATTGAGAGAATTAAAGAATTGATTTAATTGTCTATCTCCTGGGAAGGATTAATAATTTAGCTTTGGATATTGGATAGTAGTACAAAATGCCTACAAAACCACTAGATATAAAAAGATGTGGACTATTTAAGTAACTGAGCTAAGGGGTGGCTTTCAATATTGTGAAATGGAAATGATCTTGGACTGTGAATCACAGCAGAGAAATTCTGCCTTTGTTTATATGACAATATCTTTTAGATGAATAAAAATAAGCAAGACGTTACTGAAATTTGCCATTCAACATTTGTTTTAGGAATAGGATTTTGGAACTGTTATAGAGGAAACTATTTTAAACTTCTGTGTACATATATAGACAAACACACATTGAATTATTCTTGCTATGTTCTACTTGATTGCTGTCTTTGCTTGTTCTGTGCATGTGATGTATGACTTTTAACCCTACACAACTGTGCTTTGACTTATTTTGGAAAGAGAGAAGGTTACTCTGTTTATTACTTTATATCCAGGTAATTAATTCCAATTTTTTGTGTTCTTTAAAAGGTCAGTGCTGCTTTTTTTTTTTCCTTCCAGGCACAACTGTAATGACTTCAGACTTGTAACAGATTTGAATTAAACCCACTTCAAAATTATCATCTAGCTGAAATCAAATCACCTCTTTGATAATTTAGAGATCAACATCTCCATTTACATTTGATATTCAGTATATCTTTAGTCAGTACACATGGATGTTTAGATTTTTCAATTATTAACAATGTCTCCAGTAACAAACACTACAAATTTTTGGCATTCTGTATGTGCCAGATAGCAATTTTGCAACAATCTATTTACTGTGGTTCTCGTCACATATTGATTTTCCTAGAATATTATTAGCTTGCACTGCAAATATATTTCATGCATGTTAATTGATCTTCCTGTTAGTGTTTTAAGAGGCCTCAGAACAGCATATTGAATTTCTGGGTCTCACTAAATTACCCAGGCAATTTCTGGCAATCAGTATTAGAAGATTACGTGCCAATGGTAAAAATAGAGGGAAGGTTACTGATACAGTTTTGCTCTGGGTGGAACAGGCGCAACAGTAACTGATTTTACAAAAGATATCTTACATTTGCAAACTATACAATAAACAGCAGTGATGAGTTATTCTGTAGTCTGTATATCCTAGAAAATGCAGTTTATTCTGCTACAGTAGTGTCAAGAGGGCTGAATCTCACTGTAAAAAGAGAAAAGAAGCAGAATGCTTTCTTTCTGGGAACAAGACGATTTTTGAAAGGGTGGACTTTGTGTGAGATTACCACTGCGGACCAGCCTACTTTCAGCTGTTTGTTATCCACCAGTTTCTTGTAGGACGTGACTGCTGGGTAAGAAAAACTTCAAAAAACCAAAGGAAGTGTGGTCCAAGGGAGAATGTGGTTTGAGTCAGGAGGAAGATTTATGTGTAGGTACTCAGCTCCCAACAGCCCTCTTGCTTCAGTAGCAGTTGGATCTTTGAGCTAGGTATGTGAGTTTTATATCTTAAGTAGTGATGTAATATTTCTGGTGAGTTAATCTGTACGAGGGAGCTAAACGCGCCTGTATCTGGCCCTCTTTATTATTGCTAATAATAGTTTTATTGCTAGTTTCAAAACTTTAGGTTTTAAAAGACTGTTTAGTTGTAATAACTACATCTAGATGGATGCTACCATGCAAGCAGAAGAGAAGTGCAGAAGCTCACATATCTCTATTGTAGTCTTGACATTGTGCTCTTCTCAGGATGCTTCAGGACTATATGTGGATGAAAATGCTCAGAACCTAGGAAAGAGAAAGGTTTACCAGCTTCTGTCGTTTTTCTTCTGGTTTGATGTTACTGTGAGTGATCACTAGAGCAGATAGTGATGCATCAAGAGAAGACAGATTTAAAAGTTAACTAGTTGTCTGGTAGCTGATCCCAGCTTTCTGGTCATTTATTGGGCTTGAAAGGATGGTTGGCAAGTGCAGTGACTTGTTTCATGGGGAACAGAGTCTTCTCTCCATGATGAAATTACATGAGAAATCTCTGGTACGTTTCCTTTCCTGTTAAGAGAGTTGAACAGCAGGGTTAGGCTTACTAGGTGGTCTAGGTCCTTAATAAGTCATTGTATAGACTTTATAGTTTAGGTACACACCTCAAGAAATGGTTCATAGAATAGCCCGCACAGTACGATCAGAATAGCTTTTTTACTGAGTAGTTCTATTTTCTTCAAGCCATTCAGAAACATGTTTTCAGTGCTTTTTTTGGTTTTGGGTTTTTTTTTGAAGATTTTGAAGGCTTACCACTCTTTCTAATCCCTTTATGTATTAACAAACAGACAACAGAGCATAGGATATGCTTTTGTTTTGTTCTTTTCACTTTGACTAATGGAATTGCTTATTCCACCACATCCTGGGAGTTCCAAGAAAACCTGATACGTTTGGGAGCGCTCAACAATTGTCAGATACAGAAACTATTTTACAGCTCGCAACTAATCCCTGCATTGGCTTTGTCATCCTTGCAGCTGTACAAGTAAAGTACAAGCAAAATGGGAGTCGTTTATTCAGCACTCTAACAATGCAGAAAATATAATGGCTGTCTCCTCATGACAAAGCTCTGTTGTGCAAAGGCAAAGATGTCAAAGGGTCCACTCAGCTCTTGGACTCTGAGAGCTACATATCCTTTAGAGCTGATACTGGCTGCCTGACGGAGACGAGATCCTCTGTAGGACTGATGTCAGCTGAGACAAGGGGTGGCCCTCCCTACCTCCCCTGCGAGACATGGAGGCAGCCTTGCGGGACACACATACACAGCATGACCCTGCTGCTGGAATTTGCTGCTGGTGAACTGAGTGCATTGTTTTCACATCATGTACTCCATGTATATCCCATGGCTTTACCATGCCAGAAATACAAATTGAGTAGACCTCCATTTATTTGTTCTAATTCAGAAAGAAAATACGAAGTCTTTTATCAGTTTTGGCTTTCATGAATTACTAAATTTCTTCCTATGCCTTTTCCATTGCAGCTTGAGTTCATTTGACTGCAGTATACAATACACTGCACTAGATACAGAAATGGCAACAAACTGGATCATATTTTTGCTGCTCCTCTTCTCTGTTACTATGGTGAGTTTTATCAGGTTTTTTGAATTATATTTCCACTTTCACTTTTAACATGTGTGTACAGAATGCTGCAGAAATTTTTACTATGGAAATGCAGAAATCTTGTGTTCAAGTTTCTGCACAGCCGGATCCTTATCTAGCTTATGTCCTGCTTTTAATTCCTGAGATAAAGGAACATAAAAAGTCACCTAGCTCTGCTGAACTCAGAATATCCTTTGCTAGCAGAGAACTTTACAATAGCAATTGATGAGTTGCATATAAGCAGTGCTATGAAGACCCCAGTAAGGGCAGAGCAGACTTCTAATTCAGATTCAGAGGAGATCCTGGGAACCGTTAATTTTACCCCTTGCATGACAAGGGTAACATATTTCTATCTGCCACTTTATTCTCCCCTGAATTTTTGTAGCTTCCTTCTGAAATAAAGTATTTCACTTGTTAAAAAAATGGAGTTCAAAGGTTTAATTTTTGATGAAGAGCCACTTTCTTATTTTTGTGTTTTAGTTTGAATAATTGTAACATTGGATGTTATGTCCTTCATGTCACAAGAGTTTCTGACTTGCAGAGCGTTGCCCCCAGGCTCATTCAGAAGTTTGTCAAGAGTCAGTAGTAAGAACTGCTAAACGAAACTGAAAAACACAAAATCAGATTGTAGTAAGACCTAAAGGTCATTTTCCTTTAGTAAAACAATATTTAAAAAATAATATTTAAAAATATTGAAATTCAAGAAATTTCTGTCAGTTTGCACATGACTAGTAGATCTAAGTCGGTTGGTACAGAAACAGATATTGGTAAAATAATGATGACTTGCTAAAAAAAAGTTTCTTTCCTCCTAGTTTTTTGCCACCGCTATACCATCTGAAGGGCATCAGAATATGACAGAGGACTTCGCTCAACTGAGTGTTACACGGAATAAAATTATGACAGCACAGTATGAATGCTACCAGAAAATTATGCAAGATCCTATTCATAGGAAAGAAGGTAGCGATTATTTTCTCATACAGTTTTCCAAAGGAAAATGGGCAGCAGACATAATTAATGAATTCAGGGTTTTTTAGTCATACTCCCTTCTTGTCTTGGTAGCAATCACTTTTTAGGCTGTAACTGTATTTGTATGACTTTTTAGAAATATCACTATGGGATTCATAAAGATAAGGTAATACAGTATATTAACTGCCCATAGCACCACTTCTTATATAACACAGCGCTTTTATTTCTAATAAGATAAAATAAAATGTTCATTTAAATATATACACAGCTTAATAAAATAAAAGTAATTATTATTACCAATTTATTTAATTTCTTGCTATGATAATACCTCTATCTCTCTGGTAACATCTGCCTTTAAAAATTGAAAACATCCTGATACGTATTATTGCCCTGCTCTGAGAATGAATTAGTGTTACTAATGCCCCTTCTGGTAACTCATTCAGAGCTAGCCTCAGTAGCTTGACCTGCCATTGTATCTACTGTTTCTGACTTCTTATCTTCAGAAAATATTGCAGTTTTTGGAGGAAGAAGAGATAATGGCATTCTCTTACAGTGACTTTTTTTCTCTTCTGAAATGGTTCTTTGGAGAAAGTTCATGTCTGGAGGTCAGAAATGGAGATGAGTATAGACAGTGTAAGCTTATGTACAGCCTGGGGCACCGCAATTTCAGAAGCATCTGGACAAATTGGAGAATGTTCAGAGGAGAAGAGGAGGAGTTATAAGATGTTTGAAAAATGTTGCCTTTGAGATGGATGGGGGGAGAGTTTATTAAGTCTTGAAAAAAGAAAAATGAAGGAAGATATGAAAAACATCTTCAAACTTGTAGACAGGGTTAGGCTTTCTGCATATCTTTTGGGAAAAGAGTTGATTATAAAAGCCTAGCTCATTCTCAAGAGATGTTTATTATAGATGTTAACATCTGCTATAGTGCAATGAGGCATTAAAACAGGCTTTATGGGAACACTGTAGCATCCCTGTCCCTGGAAAAGTGAAAGAAATGTCTGTCAGCAATGATCTCTGTGGGCTTAGCTCTGCCTCCAGGCAAGGGAACCCAGTGGCTGCCTCCCAGCCAGGCTTCCTGATGGCTTCTAGCAAGTAAACACATGTATAGGCTTGGTATACATCCAAAGTGTAAATAAATTCAGTAAAATGATTTTTACAGGTGTAAGGCTCTTTGTTAATGCAAATTATGTGGTTTGAATTGACTTAGTTTGTTCACTTTAACCCAAAGAGTATTACTTTATCCACTAGCAGTGCTCTAGACCTAATGTGGTTTATAAATTGCAGTTGTAGACCGTTTCAAGCTGAATGATGATGCATTTTAAAATCTAATCAAAGAAATGCATATATATATATAAGGAATTATTTATATTAAGTGGAGTTTTAATTAACTATTGCTATTGCTAAATTTTGTGTTTCTATTCTCCTTTTTCTTTATGAAGAAGACTCATTGCTGCAAGTAAAAAACCTCATACAGTCTCTTTCAGAGGTTCATGTCTGTCTTTTGAAAGACTGCTACGAAAGAAGGGTTGTTATTATCAGATCTCTACTTGTTTGTAGGTCCTTACTGTAACAGGACATGGGATGGCTGGTTGTGCTGGAGTGACGTTGCTGCAGGAACGGTGTCAGTACAGCGTTGTCCTGACTACTTTCAGGATTTCAACCCATCAGGTAAGTGTGCAGGGGCCTCCATGTCAACGTTTCTTAATAAAATGAGATTTTGGATGCTTGATACCTCCTGTTTGCCCAACTGAAGTCACTAATGCACCAGAATTACAGTAATTCCAAATTCATTGTTTGTGTTTTCCCTTTATCACATAGAATAACTGACATGTTATTTTTTTCCTCTTTGCAAAATGCAAATGTTGTAGGATTCTGTAGAATAGGATTTAAAGCATGAAGTTAGATCATGGTTCTTTACTCTTAGAGATGAGCTTTTCTCTGTAAGACAAATAGAAATATGATTTATTCTTTTATCTCATTTTAGCAGTTGAAGTCAACACAAGTTGCTCCCACAAGTGAATCTTTTCCTATTTCTGTAGTCTAAACTTTTCAAAGTCTATGAGGATGTGGACAAGAGCAAAGACTTCCACTCTTGTATGCTTATGCTGCATTATGCTGCATATTTCCCAGGGTCCTTTCGTGCCACTCTCTGTTTGACTGGATAGTAATCACTATGTGGTCCCAGAAATGTTCCAGTCTGTTTCTTAGGCAGTTTCTATATTGACATTTTTCTGCCTGCCCACTCCTAATTTATATCAGTAAGATGTCAAACTTCAGTTTATATCCTGGATATTAAACAAGACATTTAAATATTCCTGTCACTTAATAAGGTAGTTCTCTAACAGTTAGTTTGATATATGTGGATATTCACTGGATTGGAGGAGGGAAATCTATTTGTTTTCTTAAGAAAAACACATCATCTCTTTCTCTTGCCAAGCAAAAGCAATGGCCTCTAGTTTCTCAGAATTCATAGTAACATACAAAGTCTCTCTAGTCTTATTAATAAAGCTGTCATTTGTTTGCCAATCTTTTTCATGAAATACTAAGCATCAGGAAGCAGAACTTCAGTACTGACCGTTGTGTTTTTCTTTTCTGTTTTTCTTTCCAACCACTTTGGCTGACTGTAGAAAAAGTTACAAAGATCTGTGACCCAAGTGGGAATTGGTTTAGACACCCAGAAAGCAACAGGACGTGGACAAACTACACCCAGTGTAATATCTATACTCATGAAAAAGTGAAGGTAGGAAAGGAATGAATGCATGTTAACCAGTGTCAAGAAACTGATCTGAAAAATTTCACAAAATGCAAAGAGAAAACAGGTTGTAGGAAAAAGATAAATTGTGCAAAGCAGACTCAAAATTAACTTCAGTTTTGTCTCGTACAGCTGATTTCAACAGCTTGAAGAATATGATGTTATTTTTGTTATGGATGTTTTAAATGTGTAGATACTAGTACTTGTCTAAGCCATCCACAGTCATATACTGATAAGCAAAGTGTATGCATTATGAAAAGCAGTCCTTTATGTTTTGCTCTGTAACTCTGAAGCAGGGCCCAAGCCCAGCAGAATTGCAAGAGGTTTGCACATCTCCGGAGGATGTGCTGAATGCTTGGGTTTATCCAGTTAAGTCATAATATCAGAGTTTTTCAGGTGCACAGCCAAAGTTTTACTTGGGGTTGATACATCTTCTAGACAGCTTGTGAGATTTTCTGGGATTTTCTTTTTTCCAGTGCAATGTGGAAAAGAGCTTTTTACTTTTTTTTTTTTTTTTTAATTTAGGCAAGATGTAGTTGAGTAGATTCACCACAGGCTCTTTGGAGGCCAAGGGAAAGTAAATGATTAGAATTGTTAGATAGGATTTGTTTTTTCTTGTGACCCTTTCCATGTATTTCTTGTGTCCTGGCTCAAAAGGGCCTTTGTCTTTTTTCGTTTCTGAGATATTAAACTGTCCATATGAATGAAAAACCTGTATTTTAGTATAATACTTTAAATTTATTTAAGTGAAATTTTGCAAGCATGCAGAATTATCTCAGACCAGGCTACAAGATGCTTTGTAAGATTTTTTTCTATACATCAAGGATACACCTCTGTATGCACAAGCATGCGCATACGTGTACCTATATAGACGTAATTTTTATAGACCTCATTGTAGCTTGAAGATGTCCATCAATTGATGGAGATAGCAAAAAAATGGCTGGTAAAGCCCCAAGTGCTCTCTTTTGTGATACCCTGTGTTATCCTATATAAGGATATAATGGGTAAAATTACATATCGCCCTGCCCATATATGTGGCTACTAGTATTTTTTTTGTTTATAAAGCGTATTCAGTTATGAGAAGAAGCAGTATAATGGAAAAGTAAATGCCCAAGAAATAAAAATATAAAATGCAGATCAGGCTAGAATGTAAATGAATTTTGAGCTTATGGAAAAAAGTCCAATGATAGAAGGTTGTATCAAGAATATTGAAATCTACTGAGTATCTCCGCTGCCTGCGCTGTTGCGTCATTCACAGTGTTTCAGGATACTTAACTGTAATCCAAGTTGTGAACAGCTGAAAACAGTGAAAATAAGGCACTTTTCTATTGCCTTTTCTCAGCTCATGAGAGAAACTGAATATGTCTGTGGCAGTTTAATTCTACTAGCAGAGATGCTTAATTCATTGATTCTTTGTCTGGAAATTGAGAGATGATTTAGATAGGAGCAGATCCATCCAGGTCCTTCCATATGAATAATATGAGCTAGCTTCCCTCAGACTGCTTTGCCAGGACATTTCAGCTCTGTCATGCATCTAAGACTGTGTGTTAAAATGGAATAATTTCTACAAAAAAATTAAAAGAATTTCTACTGCTTGCTATAGTTCTGTATGTTACATAAATGACTACGTACTTTATCTTTTCACTTTGTTCAGAAAGCAGGTTAGATGATGCACAATAAACATGGCTATTGTCCTTTGCTCCGTTCTTTCTTTGATTGCCCCCAGCAGCAGTCCCTGCTGTACCATTGTGTAGTGCCAGTTCTAAATTGGGCAGAAATCTTCTAAATTCTTGACATGCTCCTTTGCCTAAATTGGTCACTGTATGAGATGGTGATATGGGATATGGTCCTGTCTTAGAAAGGCTGTCATAAGCTTTAGAGTTCCAGAGGTAACCCTTGTTTTCACACTTACAGGTTTTTATGAAAGTTTCACTTAAATTATTGCATTTCTTTAGCATCCTTATTAAAAAGTATCTCATTTTTAAAAATAATAATGTGAAAAATTCTAGCATGTACAAATATGTACATTTTTCTCATCTAATAACCTTCTGAAAGCTTTACATGGAATCTATTTATATTATTTCAAAAGTGAACGGACATAGCAGGCTGCAGTTTTCCAGCCGTAAATTGGAGTAATAGGTTCAGAGGATACACTCCACACTGGATGTATGAGTATGTGTATGCATGCTCTAATTCTTCCTATAGAATCCAGATAATTACACTTTTTTGTGCTAGAATAAACTTCAACCTGAAGGCCTGCATTTCCTTAGGTGCAAAATAACAATTTTAAACTTAATGCCAGAAGGGAATTTTTGTGAGGCAAATTCTACGCCTGAAAGCACAGAATTTTCTTAATACTAGAATTTAATATATTACTTAGCTCAAAGATTTAATGATAATGTGTTGTATATTTTCCAAATATTAATTTACCAGTTCTTTTTTTTTTTGTTGGTCTCTACCAGTTTTTCATGATTCTATAAGATGGCTGTAGACTGATTTAACAAGATTGTTTAGTCTTTGCTATTTTTAAGTTATTGTTAATTTTTTTCACCCTCTTCCTGGAATGGTGACTGAAAACTGAATTTCCAGTATCACAATCACAGCTTACTTTGAAGAACGTGTCTTTCAAATGATAAGAAAAAGAATTCCATGAGAAAAAATATATAAACTCAGATCTGAATCATGCTAATTTCTCTTTTACTTAAGAAATGTGTTATTAGATGGATCAAGCTTAAGACATGAATGTACCCAGCACAGTAGCATAACTAGCTAGATTTATGTAAATACTCAGGAAGAACATAGTGGTATATATTAAAAATCTAATGTTTTGACTGATAAGTTCTAGTGATGATTTCAATGAACCTGTTCTGTGTCCTACAGAATGAGTTTTTCGTAAAACATTCATTTGCAGAATTCTGGACTTGACTCATCATTTTCTGTAATGTTTTTATTTTCTTAATCCTATTAGAGGCATTTTGTATGTAGCAGAGATGTATATGCTTTATCAATAGCAGTTCTGTATGCATCACAGGTGCTTGTTTTTGTTCTTTTATTGCAGACTGCTCTGAATTTGTATTATCTGGCCATCATCGGACATGGTCTTTCAATTGCATCACTCCTGATTTCCCTTGGCATATTCTTTTATTTTAAGTAAGTATATTTAAAATCTTATACCAAATATTACTGTTTACAACAATCCTAGTTTCTCTAATACTTTAACATACAAGCCATCCCAATAAATAGGATGGAGCAAGATGGCGATTGAAGTCAGTATATTGGTTTGGCACTGAACATTATATTATAATACAAGAATATCCTCCTTTTCTCAGAAATCGAAAATCCCAAATCTCCAAATGAAAAGCTGTAAATATAACAAATTACAAATAAATTACAATAATTACAAAGAAATAAGTTACAGTAATCATCTCTTTGAACAATGGCTTGTAAGGGAAAATGTCACTAGAGAATATGGAGCTCATGGAAAAGAGAATGATAATGATAGAAGATTGTATGTTCTTTAATAATACCCAATTATTAAATGATTGTGAATTTATTACAAAACTTAAAGTGTGACTATGCCGAGCATGGAGCAGACTCATTAACTAAGGAGCAAATGAAAACCAAAATACAGGTAGAGTAACATTCCAAAATATTTAGCCACAAAATATGAGAAATTGTAAAGAAATTAAGACTTAGAGAAACAGTACGAATGGGAATAATAAAATTAATTCTGGCTTTTATATATGTTATGTCTATTACGGTTATGTTCTCCTACTTACTAACAGCTATTATGGTATCTTCCCACAAGAAAGTTTGAGCAGTATATTGCCACTGTCATAATAACTTGTAACATAATGAGCAAGTTTCTGAAAATTATATCTATTTATTACTTCACATTTGTGAACTTACCTTTTTTTTTTTTCCTGTGAAGCACACCTAATTTTTTTAGAAGTTGATAAGGCTTAGTCAAAAGTGGAAAACAGGAGTGTTGCAACAAGAGCATAGCTCAGGCAAAGTGCTGTGCTGTCAGAGAAGAGCTGTTATCCCTGCCAAATGCTGCACTGCACTGTGTAGGCATTCCCTGTTAACTGACACTAGTTTGATCATTTCTCCATCATTTTTCATTGGATAATGCAGCTCTGCTCTACAGTCTTACCTGTTTCTTACCACTACATCCTACTGTCTCACTCCACCTTTTATTTTTTCCTAACATTTAAAGGAAAGTACAGATTAAAATATGAATAGCACATACATCAGCAGTAATTGGGCTAGATAAGCCCATTTTCTCATGCTCCAGACTTTGATTAAGTCTACAGGGGTAGTAGATGTCTGTTAACATTATCCTTTTTCAGTCATACCTGGCTGAGTATTTTTTTCTAATTTAGATACACATCTTTTGCCCAAGTTGTGGGCCAACATTGCCAAAAACACCCCTGAAAACAGAGACTACAATTTTGTAGCTTCTCTTTATGAAGTACTGTATTGAAGGTGACTTTTTTGCTTCTTTTGACTTCTTTTCCTGAGGACAACCCAGAAGTTCTGTTGTTTTTTATTAATTTATAAGCATGTGACCTATAAAAACAATGCTTACCATTTCTGAAGCTCACTTTCCTCGCACTGCTGAACAAAATCAAGATGTGAAAGAGCCCTGAGTTCTTATAAGAAGTTTGATTTTGCATAAAGAGGGCTATACTATTGCTATAAATCTCACAAAGTGTTTAACAGATTAAAAATCCAATGTGATAGGAAAAATGCTTTGAAATAGACTTCTCAGGAGGAAAAAAATATTTTGAATATGATTTTAAAGTTCAGAGATAGTAAAGCATGATTTTGCTGTATTATAATATGAACACTGATCTAATTTCATCTTGGCTTGTAGCACTTGCTGCAAAAGCAGGTGATCTGCTTTGCTACCATTATGTTATATTTGTCAAACCCTCCAGGGATTTTTTCCCCCTCTGGTAGAAGGATCCTCCATGCTCAGAGAACCACATGGAAAGAATCCAGACCAACAAACCACAATTTCTAGACTGTGGTTTTGTTGGGATATAAAAAGAAATTGCAAAATTTAGAGGAAGCTAAAGAAAGTCCTCTACAAGATGTTGTCTTGGGATGTTCACTGTTTTTAGTAGCAGAAGGGTATTTAAGGATCTAGATAAATACCAGGATGTATTATGTGTTGGATGAAGTTTGTATTGAAGTTTGTAATTCATGGCTCTGACAGGAGGGATGTTTTTCTTTGCTATTGTGCAGGGGGGTCTTTGAATTTGTCACGTTTCCAAATAATTTACTCTGTTAGTAGAATCACAGTTTTCAGACAACATTTGCTGAATTGCTGAGTATTAGAATATTTTTAGTTTTGATTAGAAAGGTGAGACTTTACTTCATCGGGAAAAATGACATTTTTTTCAAATATCTTCATTGCTAACAATTTGAGGGTTTTTTAAAAAGATTAAAACATTTTTGAGCATTTTCTTTTTCACTTGAAATTCTATTTTTCTTTTGAAAATTCCCTCATTGGAAATGTCTGCCCAGTTTGTGACTTGTGTTCTCCACATGGATTAGAGTTCGTATAAAGTGGGCTATAAACTTGGAACTAGGCTTTCTTTGTGAAAATTAATCAATGACAGATATAAATAACTTCTTGTAGTGGTTCAAGTTTCTCGTTCTGTTATGTTCTCTAAATTGTGCATGTGTTTTATACAGTCTTCTGTTAAAATAGTTTTATGACTGTTTGCATAAAGAAAAACTAGGAGGAAAAAATAAGGCAAGAGAAAACTTAAAAGAACAATGAATTCAGAGAATGGGGAGCTCTAATTTGAAAGTTTAAAAAAAGAGACTACCAAAAAAAAAAAACAAACCAAAAAACCCTAAATACCTGAGATACAGGAGAAGTTGTTGACTGGGATCAATCATCATGTCAAATCACATGTTAACACTCACAGACGTTAGCAACACTAGCCTCAAAGAGTGTATAAACAACCAGATGACAGATTGGTAGAGAGATATTAGATCCGTAAGTCACTTTAACTGAATTTCATTTGAACATCTATTTCCCTTTAGGTGCATACGTAGATCTCACTGGTTGTATTCTGTAGCGTTTGAATACATTAAAAAATAGATCCCAAACACAGCTGGATGTTTCTGAAAATGTTACTGCTTTTCTTTTCGGTAAATACTGCAGAAATGAATTTTTCCATAGTGCCCTAGACATGCAAGAATCAAATTTGGAAGGGAAATATGTCATTTAGCAGAAAGACTATTTTTATTTTATTGCACAGGGTTTAATCTAGTGATAGGTCATTCACATGCTCTTAGATCATAATTACAAGAATTAAATGATTAAAGGACATTATGTCATTAAGAAATAGTCAGAATAAGGACTATAGGAAGGGTAACAGAAGAGGGAGGGTGGAGGCTTAGGAAGAAATCCTTTCATTACCAAAAGCAGTCTTCATTTTAAAATGTCATCAGTCTTGCTTTCTTGTTTCTTGTCCTGTGATCCTTTCATGCATGGGTGGAGGTGGCTGTGGATGGGTGTGCTTGAATATTCAACAGGAACAGCTGCTGGATGACCCTGAGAGATGGCCCCATTAGTTGTACGTGCTTTTCCTTGCCTGTGCATTGAATCTTAACAATAAGCAGGCGGAATCCTGGAGTTTTTCAGGACTCATTCACACAAAGCTGTTAGCTGGAGCCTAGTGTTCCTTCTCTCCATATAAACAGCATAGAAAAATATATATATTAGGCTTATAATATTATAAATATAGTGTGTATTATATATATAATATATATTCAAACAATGTAGAAACTTATATAATAATCGAAGCTTTGTGTTTTGTGCATTAAAACCGAAGGCAAAAGTACAATTATAGAATAACTAATGGAATATACATTATCACTTAATTAATATTCATAGCTGTGTTCTGTATTTGGGGCATTTTTTCCTTTGTTTCCTTGGTGGCCAGAGGTTCATGTAGAGTTAATCCTTGTGCTATATGACTAGCAGTGGTTCTAGAGCAGTTTCCTTCCCCTGTGGTTAGTAAAACAATGCTTGGAATGACTAAGGGCTCCAAGGTGTGACTTGCAGTTACTATGTCTGTCTCATTCTTGTGCAGATCTGAACTTGTGTACTTTACGCCATGTATCTGTGGGATGCTTCCATACTCTCTTCTTATGATGGTTGCAAAGAATGCAGTTAACCCAAGATGGCCACTTTATAACAATCTTTGCTATACCACTTACACACTTAAGTATGGTCTCCTCTGTAGCTAGACTGTAACTCTCTTGTTCAGTGTAGTCATTTGTTCTCTTTCATCTGTCATGTTCTCAACAGATTTCAATACACTTCTCCAGCTCCTCTAGATAGTCACTTCATTTTTCCAATCAAATGTACTAAATATTCCTGGTTATAAAATGGAGGGGAGGCAGGTGCACAGCACAGCACCGACTCCCTAGAACACAGGCTTCGTAGATTTTTTGACCCAAGTAACTAAAGAGCGTTTCCTGAGAGTCAGCATTGCACCACTGCCCTTATCACTTCTCTTTACTTTGATTCTTACTTGAATGAGAAGCACTCCCGCATCATGTATTGGCACTAAGATAGACCTGCTTTTTATGGAGTAACAGATAAACAGAATACTGCTGTGACTATGTTCAACTTCAGGTTTCATCGACTGTGTCACTGAATATCTGTTCACAAAAAATAAAGCTCTTCAAAAGATGTTTTTTCTCTTCAATTTTATTGCAAGATTCAAAGGAAATCTTGAAAATTAACATGGTTAAATGCATTTACATATTGCATTTTGTAACTATTCGATACTCTGTATATAGCTTAGTTGTATATAACAGTCAAGATAGGATTCACATTGTTCTACTTATTTCAGTATTTCTCTAGCTGTAGGATTAGGGAAGAGAAGTGACTGAGAATGTGAGTAAAATAAATGGTCCTCCAAAATCTTGACAGATTTGGTTAAATTGAAACATAAGGTAAGATGGCTTCTTTAAGCTCAGGTATGATAGTTAATTGGAAAATTCTTCAGGCACTAAAAAAAAATGTATAAATCTTCTGAAACTTGTTATATTATCCCTATTCAAACCCTTTTTAGATGGCTACTACAAAGCGGGTCCATAATTGTAATCATACTGGAACTGAATGTATTTGTTTTGCCTTCTGTTGTCAAATAAAATGAAGATTAAGGCAAGCTGTTATCTTTCACATCGAGTTACTTCTATTAAATTTGGACTAGAGCTGAAGAAAGGGTTAATGTGAGCTCTTCCTCATGAAGTAAAGAGCTCTTATTTCAAAATTTCAGAACTGTCCCCAACTACTCATAATTGTCCCCTGTGTATTTATTTGTTCTTGTTTCTCTTTTCTAGGAGCCTGAGTTGCCAAAGGATTACCCTGCATAAAAATCTATTTTTCTCTTTTGTTTGCAACTCCGTTGTGACAATAATTTCACTGACTGCAGTTGCCAACAACCAGGAGTTAGTTGCAACTAATCCAGTAAGTGGAAGTGTACTTGGCAGCCTTGTTAATTTGTATCTGAAGAACTTAACCAATGCAGAACAGATTAATAAGATATGCATAGTTAGTGAAATGATGTAAAGCAAGGTTAAAATGTTCAGTAATGATGTATCCATGTCACATGTTACAACAGATATCTAATGATGATTTGGGCAGTTCACATTTGAGGTTTCTAAATAATAAAATGCTCTGGGAGACAGAGCCTACTGAACTCTTCTGAAGTTGTACAGAACTCTTTTGCACTGAAAGAACATATTCTAGATGATCTCAGTGAGGTTATGGCAGAATTTAATTCACCCAGGAAGGACAGTAAAAAAAAGCTGTTGAGTGTAATTCTCAATCTGTTAACTACTTCCTTATGGCTTTAACTCTGCCATCTTCAGTTGAAAGGAAAATAATTAATTTTTTTTTGTGAAGGGAGATAAAGCTGATTCTTATACTCCAAAACTAAAAAACAGACTAGAAAAAACCAAAAATGTGTGAATCAGTAGCCTCTCCCAAAAGACAAGGAGTTACAGCACCTGAAGAACCTGAAAATTAAATACAGAAACAAACAAAAATCCCTAACCATGGCTTGATTTTTAGTTAGATCTAGAAGATAAGTTTAAACTATGTGAAAGTTAGGGCAAAGCTCCAGAAGTTCCAGGAATCAAGCAAAAAGACAACATTCTTTTTCTCCTGTAAAAGCCCATAAAGGTAGGCTTGAAATAGCTGAGAATTCCATTGATAAGTGAGTTAGGTGGCAGAATATGGTGAAACAATATTGATTAGGTGGCAGAATATGGTGAAACAATATTGATTTATGGTTAGCTTTAGTGCCAGAAATACATCAAATGTATGATACACACAACAATTTCAGAGGAAAAAATGGATCTACTTTGTCCAAAACAGTAAATTATCTGTTGCCACTTTTTCACAACCTCATATTTTAGTCCTTATAATGAGCTATATCATAATATTTTAACAGACAAATATTTTAGGATGTTTTGACTGAGACTAAATATAAATTTATGCCAATAGAATGGCTTCCTACCAGAATCTGTTATGCGAATTCTCACCTTTCCCTAAGTATTACAGTTATGAATAGGTTAAAATGGAAAGTATTATCAGCATTTTAAAAATGTAAATTATTCTCCGGAGCACTTGCATGTTGTTGTGATTGGTATAACTGAAAGGAGATTACCACACCAAAGTATATTTTCCAGTGCAGTCACCATCAGATACTTTAAGGGCTGCCTACTGATTGGAATGGTGGAAAACAGGAATACTTGCAGAAAGAAGGCAAAACGTCATTACTGTTTCCTGCCATCATGCTTGAGGATCTCAATGGTTCCATGGCTGATTAATAAAATTACAGATTCAGCTACTGACTTTGTCACAATAAAATATGTAATTACAGAAAAACAGAATAAATATAAATATTTGGTGGCTCAAGCATTTTTTTTTTCCATTTTGCAAACAAATTTCTGAGATTTTTGCAAACAAACCTCTGAGATTTTTGCAACTTAAATATTTATGTTGCACTCTGCTTTTTCTGCAGGTTAGCTGCAAAGTTTCACAGTTCATCTACCTGTATCTAATGGGTTGCAATTACTTTTGGATGCTGTGTGAAGGCATTTACCTGCATACTCTCATAGTGGTGGCTGTTTTTGCTGAGAAACAACACTTGATGTGGTATTACCTTCTTGGCTGGGGTATGCAATTTCATGTTCTCTATTTTCAGGCCAACGTTGTCTTTTATTGCTTTTCATAAGAATTTGAACAACATATGTCCCTTTGCTTCTCTGAGCTGGTAACTTTGAACAATGATGACATATTTCTCTTCTTTTGTCTGCAGTGCTTTAACAGACTTAGAAATATTAACATAGGAAGTTGTATGTACCTCTGTCTTTGCTGAAAGAGAGATTATGCATTTCTGGAGTCAGGAAGTGACTCCTCCTTTGTATAGAGAAAATAAGTCTCCTATTATAAAAAAGACATTAAGAAGTAATTATTCATTGTTCCTCATCTTGAAGATGTTTATACAGGAATGAATGTTTGTTTTCAGAGAAGTCTCGCCATGTCTAGGGTGGAAGGTCAGAACTGAGTTAGAAATGGCCAAGCATTTATTTTTCCAGCGGTTCCATTTGACCTGTATTGTTCACTAAGCAAACACAGAATAGCTTTAGCTGAAGATCCTAAGTAATAACTATCAAAATTAACAAGCTGAACCTGGTAGTTTCAGATAATGCAGAACAGCATATTCACAAAGTGCAAGTGAGGACTTTCTCCTCAGTTTCAGTGTACCAGTACAGAAAATTCAGCTCTGACATGACTTGGTACCTCTGTTCCTAGCTATCTCACTGCAATTACAGATGACGCGTGGTTATGAGATCAAAAGTGCTCAGCAGTTTCTGGAAGCAAGGTACAGTTAGGGTGTCAAGCATCCCAAATCACTATTTTTTTTTCCTTTGAAAAAGCTTTTAATTCGGCATGATTTCCAGAGTCCATTTTCAAATATTTTTGCAGGTGATCTTGTTTTAGGAAAGTGAGAACATAACTGGCATTTTTAGTCATCCTATTAAAACTATGGTCATATATACGCTTACCTTTTTAGTATAACTTACCTATTTAGTATTACTGTGGATTGCAGTCTGAAAAACATCTGTGTTACTAAGGGCTACTTGTTACATTTTAAATAGTTATAATTTGATTTGCCTTTTCTTTCTGTATGTCGCTGTAGATTTCCTGGTAAGACAGTGGGAATAAGGTTTCAAACTCTCTTCTTAATGAAATCTGAGAAAATAAGGTAACAGGAATTAATTCAGTTTCTATTTGTTCTGCAGGCATATGGTTTAGGTGGTTCCGGCAAGAGATGCAAATCTACTTAGTTATTAGCCAGGTTTATATGAAGAAAACATTGTTTTTCCTTCACAGGTTTTCCACTGATCCCTGCATGCATACATGCTGTTGCAAGAAGTTTATATTACAATGACAAGTAAGTAGCATCTCCAGTTGCTTTGCAAAACTGCTATATCCTCTTGAAAGAAAAAAAAGAAATAGAACAGATAATAATAAAATGACAATTTTTTTTTCTTTCTCTGTTCATTTTCTCTAGCTGTTGGATCAGTTCTGATACTCATCTGCTGTACATCATCCATGGTCCTATTTGTGCTGCTCTACTGGTAGGCATTTTTCAGATAATTTGTTTTTCTTACTCGTTTCCTGACTGTTCATGGTCGTGTTAGCAATGCTACACGCTAGCATTTACAGGTCGCTGTCATTCGCAGGATTCCCTCTTAATCCTGTAAGGTGCCTTAGATACAAAAGATAACAAGTTTTGACCTTGTTAAGGAGCCTTATCCTGGTCCTACAAGAAACTCAGGTTTTGCAGTATTGGCTATCATTACATTTAAGTCCTAATGACAAGGAAGTTCTAAATATTACCTGGAGTACTGAGCAGATAGTTCAAATCCTTTAGCTGAGAATGTTTCAGTCCTCGTTTCTGACTGCCGAGGCCAATGCTTTATTTGCTGGGTTGACGTCAGTAGCTTCAGTGTGGCACTGTGCTAATGCGGCCAAATAGCTTCCAGACTGGACCTGACTGGAGGGCAGACAGAGGTCTGCTGAATATCACAGGACTGACTGCAGGTGGGAATACAGTACGGAGAGAAATTAGAGCAGGAACTCAGGAGAGAAACAGTGGAAGAAGTTCTGCCAACAGAATCTTCAGGCTGATCTGGCAAAGGTTTCGTATAAATACATGCCCACTGACTTTTCTTATGGCTTTTCAGATTATGCAAGGAAATTCATTAAGAATGAAAATATTCAGTAGACTTTTGGAAACCATTTTGGTCCCTGATCTATATGAAATTCCTAGTTTCTTAAATTGCTAATGAAAATTTGCTGAGGGTACCCTGTGCACAGAGAACTCGCTCTAAAGCTCGCTCGCATTGCATAAAACCTGCAGTTCTTGTGACTCCCACGTTTTCATTCACAGTGAAATTAGCTGGTAAATTTATATTTGAAGGATGCACTGATACCGTGACCCGCATGAAGTACTCTACCCATGAAACTGAGATCCATGACCCTTGAGGTGTTGATTATTACTGATAATCCCTTGTCCTGTTAGTCAGGTCTGCCATGTATGTTCATGTAAAGACACTTTATGCTCTAATCTGCATACCTAAACTCAAATCTAAATCCTTTTAACTTTTGTTGTCTCCAACTTAAACAGAAGGTGAAATCCTGGTTTCACAGAAACTGAGGGGAGTTTTTTTGCTCATTTCAGTGGCACCATATTTCACCTAGAAAATGTATGCTACTCTGCATTGTCGTGTGGGCCATTGCTTCCTTCTTCCAAGTGTCTCTTCATAGATATTTCACTTAAATAAAGCTCTGTAAAGGTGAGATACAATGTATACTAGTCAGAGCTTGCTTCGACAACAACAAAAAAAACTATGTAAAATTTGAGGCCTGTAACATCTTCCGTGAAGTAACCTCATTAGAGGATTTAAGAACGTTTTCTCCATCCCAGCAGTGGCCTCCACAAAGTCACGCTGAAAATACTGGCAAGGCTCTTGCGGATTTCAAATGAACTGGATTAGTCCCAAACTGTCAAGTCGTCTTTCCACTCAAGTCAACACTAAGAATGTCCTTTGATTTCACTGGAGGCATAATAATCCCCTCAGCGTGCTTGATTTTGGCAGAATCTGTGTCCATTTCCCTTGCAAATTACGAAAGTGTATACCTTTGATATTCCCATATTTTTCATGAGGAGCTGATTGAAAATGTTTCTCTTGCTTTTCACATAAATTTACTGATGGTACTGAGGCAAGAAAAATGCAGGTAGGAATAATTAAGATTAAACACAACTACACATCTTGCTTGTGATGTGTATGATATGAAAATACCTTAAAAGAGTTTTTTTCTTTCCTGGCAACAACAAAATTTAATACGTCAATTCAGGAAAGACAAGCCAGGGATGAAGACAGAAGATGAAGTGCATGTGTTTAGGCTGTGTGAACAGAACCCTCATTTGCTTAAGCAGCTTGCTTGCCAGATAAAATTTTCACACTTTACTAAGCATGACCTGCTTTAGTAGAAGTTTAAGCAACAATATTAAACTGCAAATTAGGTAACGAGGGAAACAACAGTGTTTCTACTTGCAGGAGCAAATCTCAAAGAGCATGAAGGGGATTATCAAGGGGGTGCCAGGGAGAATTGGCAAAAGTCAATGGGAATTAGGCCTTTAACTCCTGTATGTCACTGCAAATCCTACCGTTACATAAAGTTAACAACAACGCTGCTTTTACAGTCCCTGGTATTACATAACTGTGGTCAGATCCAGGCCAAAGAAGCTGTAAATGGGAGCAGACATAAGTTGCATTTTGGTTGAAGTTGTATTCAGTTGCGCACTTAATTGCAAATGTTTGTCTAAGCAACTACAATCAAAGAAATAGCGTGGGAATGAAACAGATGCTGATGTCAATTTTTACACTAGGCAAATACTGATCAAAATGGAGGAAAAAAAGAAAAGCAATAGATTTGAACTTTAGCGAGAACAGTATTGATTTCAGTGTAGCTTTCAGATATGTCAGTACGCTGTTTTTCTTGTTTTAGTTTGCACTGGTGCCACTGAAAGAGCAGGTTTTAAATTAGTTATGCCATTATTTACGTAAATAGTATTAAAGGGCAAAATAAACATCCCTTTAATAATATTATGTATTAGCACCTTAGATTGACACCCTTCTGAAGATGCAAATACTTTCAGCAGAAGCAGCAAGCGTACTAGGTGAATGTGTGCTAGAAGGAAGTTCAGGAGCCCCAGTTTGTGTTTCTACCTTTGTCACTGACCTGTTTCATGACTGTAAGCTGGACTCGGTACAAGATAGGAGCCTAAAAGTTGAATGCTTAGCATTCATGTGCCCAACTTTGGGGAGTGGCCAGAAGTCAGACATAAGAAATGCCCTCAGGGACGTATCCAAGTACTCTGTCCAAGCAAGCCAGGCTCAAGCAGGCTCAGGTCTGAAATTGCATAGCTATATTAAAAACAGGCAGAGACTACTAGCTAGGGTATCCAAGTATCTTGATCTGAGAATAGTCTGTGTATAATACCATCCCAAGAAAAAATTTGAACAGAATTTAAATCTACATGTGAAAAAGGATGCTCATTCTGCTTAGCACAAAGTGAACATGGAGAGAACTAGAAATTTCAGGGACCTCAGGAATTTTGAACTAGAGAACTGCAGGACCTGTTGAGTGTTAAGCTCAGCTATGTCCACAACAACTCTGAATGCTGAACCTGAATTCTACTAAGTTCCCAGTATTGGCACCAACAGTTTTTTTTTTATTCTTTTTTAAATCTAAGATCGCTTTCTCTGCCTTTCTTTCTTTTATTGACTTGTCTGTTTCAATTTTCAGATTCATGTGGAACAGTCTGTATCTTACTATGTGTTTATACTGCAGCTAGCACAACAGGACTCCACTGGAGCTTTACAAATAAATCATCAGTCAATTTGATGATAATATATATGCAAGTAGTTCCACTGGCCAACTATTGTTTAAATAAGAAAATGTTCTAAGTAACTTGCTAAAATCAATACAAGTTTTCATCACTTCTGTAAGAATTCAGTCCATCCTGATCGCACTGTATTCATGATAGAAGAGATACTGACCAAAAACTGGTGCTGCGTATTTCTACTGACACTCTACTTTGCATTGTTTATCTTTTCTGCTTGTTCTAGTATCTATGTGAAATCCCTTTGCAAGTTTATTTTTGTGTTTTTTTCCGTTTGGGTGGGCAGGTAACTACTAGAATGATTTTGTGCATTTAGGCTTTTTTAAGTGAAAAGATTTTGCTAATGATATTTTATTCCTGGCTGCTGCAACTTTTGTCTTCAATTAGCATTTAAATACTGTATTATAGGAATTGGTCATGCTGCCAAAACACGGGGGGACTGAATGCTGTATGTTTGAGAGACGTTGATGTTGAACTAATAGATTTAAGTGAGAAGGATTAAATTTACCTATGGAGGAAGGACTTATTGCCTACCTGTACTATAGAAAGTTGGATGAGGAACCTGGGCTGCATAAAATCTAAATAAATCCCTTAAGAGAGAAGACCTGGGTTCTTTAAACAAAGCTAAAAGGTAGCTGGAGGCTTCCAGAAGTAGTTCATGCAGTAGTTTCCTATGTAGAACGATTTCCTGTTAAATTGATTTAAATAGCATGCAAGTAGAATATAAATAACGTTAATATATCTGTCAGGGGCCATGCTGCTTTTAACAATACACAGCTGCTTAGCATGAAAGCCTTAACTGAGATGACAGGAATTCGGCCTGTGTTGTGCAGGGCACAGTGACAGGCATGCTCTGAAACAACTACCCGTTTGCACTTTTCTTACAGTGAGGCACAGGCCGGCTCCTAGACCAGGAATCCCTAGTCATTTTAGAAAGGAGAATCTTTCTTTCAATAGCTAGGAGATTTTATTTCTCTCTTTAATCTCCATAAATTATCTACAAGGATAGGCAATTTTTTGGAATAAGAGAACCAAAATCTAGGTCTCTCCCTTCCATAGCTGGTATCCTAAGCAGCAGCGTTTTGCCTCCATGTCCTTTGTGGAAGGTGATGGGACTAGCTGAGTTCTCAGGGTCTCGTCAAGCTCTAGTTTCTATAAGGGGCTGCCGTCATACTATGATAGATGAAAATACAGTTTAATTGGCCCTAACTTTGTTGTTGTTCTGGTTACTCATATCCTTAGGCTGGTCTGTGTGTGTGTGTGTGTATAAAGTTTTGTGGTTAATTACAGCAATGAATGTTGATTTAGTCTGTATTGTTGTGATTTCAGTTTGTTCTTCTTTGGTGAAACTGAGTGAACAGGTATACCCTACTATTAACAAGAAAAGGTTTAATAACTATGGAATTAAAGAGCAATCAACAGTCTGCTCACTTCCTATAAAAACTGAGTTTCTTTTTTTTTTTTTTAATCCTTTAGAATAGGAAACTTGGTGGAAAGGATTGTAGCAAATTCCATAATGCATAAGAATAATGTAGAGCATCAGCATCTCATAGCTTGCCCCGTCTGTAGTTCTGTTGAAAGATTTGAACATCAACCATTAATTACTGTGAGAATATTTCAGACCTGCTGTTTGTCTGCAGGAGTATACAGTTCCCTGTAGTAGCATTTTGCCTATAATTTTATTTCTCTTTTATTAATAAAAAATCTGATTTTTTTTTCTCTTCTCTAGAAATTTTTCAGCTTAATATTTGAAAAAGAGAAAGCCAGGCACTTTTTTAAGAACCATATTTAGATACAGACCAACTTACATAGACCTGGGTCAATTTCTTTCCTCAGATACAGCACAGGGCATTTTGGGACATCACTCTATGTCTACCAGAATAAAATTGTTTAAGCATTGACACGGTCCACTGACTTCTGTGGAGCTCAGGCCAGTTTCTATGTCAGTTTATGTCTGTGTCTTAATCCATTCTCTCTAAAACAGCATGGTGGGTTTTTTTTTTTTTCTATTTTACTGTGAAATGATAGGAATGCTTTTTTGGTAAGAATAAATCAAAGGCTCTGGATACAAAACATTATAAAAGAACTGCAAGATTTTGTTTGTCAAATAACAGCAGTTCTGTTTTTTTTATTTTTTTCATAATCAAGGTTCTACATTAGCTGGATGGATGTTTGATTAATACATTAGGATTGGATGTTTATATTAAATGTCAGAGCCCAGTCCCTTAAGAGCGTTAAAGGTGTTTTAAGGGAGACTCTTAAAGGTGTTTTCAGAGAGATTTAACTTCTGTTTACTATATAATCAGTGACATCCAGGCACTATGTGTTTTCTTCGAGTTGTCTTTTTTTTCAGTATCACAAAATAGTTTTTGTGTTTTTTCAGAATATCTTCAGTGTCATTTTATTTTCTGACAGGTGAATCTTTTCTTCCTGTTAAATATTGTTCGTGTGCTCATAACGAAGCTGAAAGATACACACAAGGCAGAGTCCAACCTATACATGAAAGCAGTAAGAGCTACTCTTATTCTAGTTCCACTACTTGGCATTGAATTTGTGCTGTTTCCATGGCGACCAGAAGGCCGGATCGCTGAGGAAGTCTATGACTATGTGATGCACATCCTTATGCATTACCAGGTAGGAAGCATTAAACAGCTTTTGTTCACTTGAGCTAGATAACAGTTGGCATGTACAGCAAATAAAGGGAAAATGATCATGTGATTTTAGTTTTTAAATGGAAGACCTTTATACAGTATTCTTGCTTATAAACAGATTTAACTTTCTCATACCACTAAATTTGCTTTTCTTAAAGGAAAAAAAAATCATGGTAGATAGCTGACCCAATTGTTTTTAGTAGTACTTCTTTAGAAATAATTCACCTGGTTAAGATTTGTGAAACCTTTTTCCTTTTGCTATCTATATCTGAATTTTATCAGGAACTCTAATTATCTCATACCTGAAGAACTCTGTATGTATCTGAAATCAAGCAAAATCTTTTTTTTTTTTTTTTGCAGGGTCTACTAGTGGCTACAATTTTCTGCTTCTTTAATGGAGAGGTAAAGGTTTTTCATGTTTTTGTTATACCTTTTTTTTTTTTTTTTTACATATTTTGTTTATCTTTCAGCAATTAAGTAGATGGCAAGCTAAAAATATATATTTTTTAAATTCCTAAATCTAAATTTAATTGTCAAGTAAAAATAATTAAAAAAAAAAAAAAGAATCTTGCTGCCAAGGTCAGAGCTCGGGAAAGAATATTCCATAGTTCGAGGCATCATAAATACTTTAGGACTGACTCTCTTGTGCTGAGAAATATCCACACCTCTTGATTATATAAGGAACTGAAGACACTTGTTGCTTGGATATAAATTCTCAGTAAATATCATATAAAGGAAAATGTAATTCAATATCCAGAAGGTATATTTGTCTATATGAGAAGTCATCACTATGCCATCTGTTATCCTGGAGAATCACTGGATTGGTCTTTCTACAGCAGGAGAAAAGCATATTGCATACACGTTGCTATATTGGGGTATTATTCTGTTATGGCAGCTCTGTAGCTGAACTGCAATTACATCAATCTTGTTCCTTTCATGAACCCTATGTTCTTTTTATAAAGCACAATTAATCTTTTTTTCAGTTTTCTTTCGGAGCTTACATTTTGGCAAAATGTCAAGCTTATGTTCAGAAAACTGCTTTTACAACACAGCTGAAAGTATCATTCCAAAATCAGATCCTAATAGCTTTATGTACCTGGGTCAGCATTTTTTCTTGAATAAGCAGAAGTGCACTTTTAAAGAATCATCATCTATCAAGTCAAAGAACAAACTTCTTTCTTCTTATGCCAGAAGACTGCATCATATTTCAGTAGTGTATGGTACTGATCCTGAACTGTTGAAGTTAACAAGCTTTGCTGTTTCTTGAATAGACGTAAGGTCCTAAAACTCTTGAGTGCACACGACTTTTAACTAGAAACTGGTACCCAAGCTTTACACTTGCAAGTGCTTACAAGGCCTTACAGGCTCAGAGATTGAAGCGGTAGAAAGTTTAAAAAAAAAAAGTGTTCTGTGTGTGTATACGCACGCGCACGCGCGCACACACACACACACACACACACACACACACACACACAAATTTACTCTTTCATATGACTCTTGCTAGCAAAAGAAAACCACAAACAAAAAAAACTCCCAAAAACCCAACTGAGACTTTTACAGCACTTTTGGCAGAGGAAGAACTATAATCTGCACTTATTCGTACACATCTGTTTGTTCGTTTGCTCTGCATTAGTGCAGTTGCTCTGTATGGCTGTAACAGATGTGTGGGAGTAAGCAGATGTGTTCATATGACTGAACCCTTAGTTTTTTTAATCAGATGTCATAAAATTTTTTCAGTGTGCTTACATAAACTTATTGGGGGTAATATTTACTTGTGCGGTAAATATTTGGCCAATGTAAGAATTGATTTAAGCAGATCACCCTTCCTCCTCCTCCTCTTCAATCTGAAGCTGACTGAATTGCAATGAAACTTCAAAACCGTTTCAAGATTTTTTTTTTTTTTCTTAAGAGATGCATAAGTCTCAGTAATTTTTTTTTTTTGGCCAAAGGAAACGAGCAGAAAAGATTAATAGAGAAACCTTCTCACAGTTTACTGGGCCTGGGTCAGTGTATACATAGGTATTCATTTGCTCTCTCTAAAGTGGAAGTCTGTGCTTCTTAAAATAGCTTTATTCTTGGTATCAGTGCTTCAGCCACTACTATTTTTTTTTAAGATAACTGCATTGTCATTGCATTGTGTTCTAGAAGGCATTTATTGCCTTATGAACAACTGGAACAGTAAGGAAGAATGTGGGAAGAATGACAGTATAGTTAGGAAAAAAGCCTGGACAGAAAAAAAAAAAGTGTTTCCTTTGTCTCCTAAAAGATTCTGCTTCTGGCATGTGTGCTGGAGGCATATGTGTATTTTGTTGCCATAACATAGCCTGAAACTGTGACTTAGTTATTGTGTACAAGATGCTTCTTTACCATTACTTGTCATGGCAGCAACTCGTTATAAACTGTACAAAATGCTAGGCATCAAAGACTAAGGTTAACACTTGTGTGCTGTTTTTGCAGCTGTAAATTTATGGAATAACAGTGAGTACTGATATTGGAATCTACGCTTCATGAGTGACAATGGGAAAAAAATTTTCACTGGTGAATTAGTAATTTAAAAAGCTAGAAAGCAGTAATTTCCTTTTATCCGTATCTGAGTATTTCCCAACTGCTACTGCACCAGTTTGTTTTCTGTATCAAGTATTAGGAACCCAGCCTTGTTCAAGTAGTGGCTTTCAGGCCACCTCTGGCCCACAAGGGATAATAAAATGGCCTGCTAGCAGAGAGCTATAGTTAAAAGAAACATAAAAAGTGTCTGAAAAATAGATAGGGCCTGCTGACAGTAGCCAAGGAACATCTGCAAACTTCTTGGGCAGCACAGCCAGGGATGGGCTGTCAATTCCAGCTGTAACATGCGCTGAAGCTCAGTTTGTCAGAAACCACCTTCCGCAGACATAGGACATATGCAAACTCTTCATCTTTATCTTCTGTGGTAGGGGTTCCCTGGAGACACTCATGTTCTGCCTTATGTCCTAGCATACTGCAGAGTAAGAGGCTTCTAGCCTACCTCATTGTGTTTTCCAATCTGAGTTGACCTAGAGAGGCCTTTTGGGTGACACAGGCTGCAGTCACAAGAGAAGCCTGTTCTAAATTTCAGTGAAATCAGCAGAAAGATTTCTCTTGGCCTATTAATAAAGAACACTGATATGTGGGACTCTGCACATTATACAGGTACAGTGTTTTTTTGTTTTGTTTTGTTTTTTCTTTTTCCCTTTCACTGGGAAATGGAAATGTTGCAGTAAATATTATGTTCTCAAGTCTAGGGGATTATAACATCCCTTTATCCTTGCCTTTAGGCAAGGTTTTGGTTTTTTCTCCTCACTGGCTACTGATTGGTTTAATTTGTGCTATACTGGACATCAAGCTACTAGCATGCTGAAGAGCAGATTGGAAGGAACCTTTCATTAAACCTCATCCAAAAAAGCTATTATTAATGCTGTGAGAAAGCAAGAATCCTCCAGCTGGAACTGGCATCTTTACCAAGGACTGAGAAAAGCAATTGCATATATGATGTTTCTATCTTTAAATGTATTACTTAATAGCCTTTCATGTAATGAAGTGCTGTTCC